TGGAACAAGGTGTGAATTTTTTTGTGATAATAATTAGGGAGACCATCCAGGCTAGGTGATTTGTGTAAAGATGGAGTTTTAATGCTCCAATGGATCTCCTCACAGGTAAAAGATTGTTCCATATGCTCTTTATGGGCTTCCCTAATAGACGGGAGGGGTAAAGCTCTTAAAAAAAATTGTGTGATGAAGGAGAACTGTCATCCTGTGGCTTTTTAAATTGCAGTTAATGTCTGTGTATAAATAGTCAATTAGTTTGTTAGCTCTCACATGAATGCACTGAGCAGGCTAGATACTGAGCCATAGGGAGCAAAAAAGAACTGTCAAAACACCAGCGTAGCAAGGTAATGTAACTTTATAAACCTCAAAAAGGGTATAAAAAATTTCCAAAACCTTAAATATGCCAGTTCATACTGTTCAATTACATATTAACCACTTGCCCTCCTGAGGATTTACCCCCCTTCATGATCAGGCCATTTTTTGCATTGCAGCGCTGCATTACTTTAACTGACAATTGCGCGGTCATGCAACGCTGCACCCAAATGAAATTGACGTCCTTTTTTTTTTTCCCCCAAGAATTGAGCTTTCTTTAAGTGGTATTTGATCGCCTGTGTATTTTTTTTTTTTTTTGCACTATAAGAAAAAAAAAGACCAACAATTTTGAGAAAACAATATTTTGGACTTTTTGCTATTAAACATGTCCAGTAAAAAAAATGTATTCTGCTATATGTCTTTGCTAAAAAAAAAAAATGTATTATTATTATACAGGATTTATATAGCGCCAACAGTTTGCTCAGCACTTTACAATATAACGGGAGACAATACAGCAACAATACAGTTCAATACAAGAGGGTTAGGAGGGCCTGATCCTTGAAGCTTACAATCTAGGGGACATGTCTTTTCTAAAAGAAGAAATCCCAATACTTGTATATTATTTGGTTTACGTGAAAGATATAGCATTTACAAATGGTGGTATATATACACTGGCATTTTTTTTTTCTGCTAGTAATGGCAGAGATCAACAACTTTTAGCGGGACTGCAGCGGATATTCTTACACTGGGGGGGAGCTAACTTGGTGTCACTGACATCTCCAGTGACACCAATACAGTGATCAGTGCTAAAAAAAAAAAAAAAACACTGACACTGTACTAATGGCACTGGGCAGGAATGGGTTAATGTGAGGGGCGATCAAAGGGTTAACTGTGTGCTGTGGGTGTTTTACTAGGGGGCGGGAGGGGGGGTGTTCTTCACTGTAAGCACACTGATCAGGATGGCTGTACTGTGCGCAGCCATCCCGAGCAGTGTGCTCGAGCTGACAGGGAGGAAGATTGTTTGTAAAAAAAAACTATCTTCCTCCCTATCGGAGATGCTTGGTAGTCACCAGGCGCCAGCGGGTAATTACCTGGCGGGAGCCAGTGTTTGACATCCGCGGGCACGAATGGCAGCACGGGCGGGTGCGCCCCCTATCCGGAGATGCAAAATGACGTGTATATATACGTGATTTTGCGCACAGGTGCTGCCCTGTAGCAGTATATCTGCTATAGGGCGGTCCTTAAGCAATTAAGAAGTGAAAATTCAGGTATCTCTTGTTACCATGCCAAGGTCAGGTAGACCAAGGAAGATTGCAGCCACAACTGCCAGAAGAATTGTTCGGGTAACCTCACAAGAAATACAGGCTTCTCTGGAAAAAGACGATGTGGGTGTTTCAAGGAGCACAATACAAGGATACTTGAACAAAAATTAGCTGCACGGTCGAGTTTCCAGAAAGAAGCTTTTACTGTGCCTTTGCCACATAAAAGCCTGGCTACAATATACCTGACAACACCTTGACATTCCTCATAGCTTCTGGAATCTGGAGTGACAAGACCAAAATAGAGGCTTTATGGTCACAAGTATAAGCGCTATGTTTGGAGAAGGGTCAACAATTCCTATAGAATACCATCCCCACTATGATGAAGCATGGAGGTGGCTCACTAATGTTTTGGGGTGTGTGAGCTCTAAAGGCATGGGGAATTTTGTGAAAATTGATGGCAAGATGAATGCCGCATGTTATCAGAAAATGCTTGCAGACAATTTGCATTCTTCTGCATGAAAGCTGCACATGGGGAAAGCGAATGCAGAAGCGCTGGAGGGGGGAGCCACAAGAGTCGGCAATAGGGCAAATACATCCAACCCTCCTGCTCGTTAGGTGCCTGGGCCCCCCTTTTGAACTGATGGGGCACCTGGCCCAATACAGGAGAGCAAGCTGTACTACCTTATCAGCATCCCTGTACCCCAGAGTGTACAATATATTCTGCTTTTAGATCCATGATTTATTCTATGGGCCCATGTACACTGGCTCATGTTGGTCTGCAGCCTAAAGTTGCATAAACCAAAAAAATGGAGTAACCTGTGTTTGAGGACCTGCATATAAAGCGTAATTTTCACATGTAATGCTTGCGTTAATGGTTAAATATGTACAGCGCAAGTGTACTTTATTTGTTGCCAGTTTCAGGGCTGGCATATAAGCATCAAAAATGTGCATTTAGTGGCACCTACCATGCTGATTACACACTATTGCCCTGAATGGCCCTTGCATCTTTGCAGGCAAGGACACTAGGCAGCAGGGCCCAAGGCATAATGTGTAATCAGCAGCGATGGCAGTAGAGCTGACTACAAAGAACAGAGGTATACCGCTCAGGCAAACAATCCAGATCAATCCAAGACAGGTGCAGGCTCTGGCTCGCCACCACACACGATGCAATAGGAAGAAGGGTCAGCCGCACACTGGAGGATTGATGAGTATAGTGAATATTTATTGGTCCATAGGACACACAAAACACCAGGACATGTATACAGGACTTAACAGGTTTCACACGATCTCGTGCTTAATCATAACTCACTGTAATGATTAAGCACGAGATCGTGTGAAACGTGTTAACAAGTCCTGTGTACATGTCCTGGTGTTTCATGTGTCCTATGGACCAATAAATATTCACTATACTCATCAATCCTCCGGTGTGCGGGTAACCCTTCTCCCTTTTGCAATAGAGCTGACTACACATGGTTGATATTTACATATTGGCCCTGAATAGCAGCCGCCACTAAGGTACTTTTGTGCTGTATGTTAGCAAAAACATTACATGCGCACTGTGTACACACAAGATTTTACATAGGATCTTGCTGGGAACAAGATCCTACACAAAATCACATGCCTTGTGTGCATGAAGTCAAATCCAGCCTACCCATTACTGAAAATTGTTTTTGTGTGGAATGACCCTTTAAGGCTAAAGGTTTCCACCTAAAGTGTTTTCAGTCATCTTTTCTGTCCTCCATCTTCCATCTCTCTTCTCTCATGCTGCCATAAACTGCTCCTATATCACATTTAATTTTACAGCTGACTGATGTGCCTGCTACGGAATGAGTGCAAACTGTAAATAGATCTTTTTTCCTATCTACAAGTAAATGGCATTTTTTGGATCAAGGTTCTGTATCGGTGAATCTTCTAAAGCGGCATTTCTTTTTTTCACTGTCTGATCTCTTTGACTTTATGTGGGTAACCCGACGTAGAATCAGCAGGTTACATTCAGATGTGTGCACTCACTGAGAAGCAGAAGGCCTTGTTATGGAGATGTCTTGTATAGATCACTGTGGAGCTTTCACTCATTTATAGATAGAGAATATCCAGCTGTACTTCTAATCCCGGGCTACCAGAATGCATTTTCCATTTCCAATTTCAGAAATGTATTTGATGAAGCATCGTAACCTCAGGATCATGGTGCTGGTCTGTCATCAGGCTGCAAATGCCATGTGCCTGCTTCAAGACCTGCTTTTTTTTCATCACTCTAGTAATATAGTAAATAAAAAGACTATGTTGCCTAAAGCTGAGCTGTAGCCATCTAAACAATGACTGTAATTTAGCTGAAGTAGCCCATCCCCCCCCAAGTCATCCTGATGTTAAAGTTAAACTTTGAAATCAAGACACAAAAACATTCATGTAAATATATTCCTCAATATCCACAACTGTAAGAAATTCACTTTGTGTGCACTAAACGCCTTTACAAAGCCAGTTATTACATCTCTGTACTGTACTGTGGCCCATCAGGCTCCACCCACTACAGGCTTCCTGCAGAAAACTACAGGAGGGGGCAAAGACCAGACCAGCCACACTGCACAAGGAGAGAGAGCAGCAGTGACAGGTCTGAACTACAGGAAGGTCCTGTAAATGATTAACAATGAATTACTGCACAGATCTGGAAGAAGTACACAGAGATTCAAGTAAGGATACACCAGGGGCGGACTGACAACTCATGGGGCCCCGGGGCAATAGGGGATCATGGGGCCCCTGTGTCCTTGCCCAAACTCAAAAAAGCCTATGAAAAAGGTACCAGGGGCATCTCATGGGGCCCCCTACTGACCCCGGGCCCTCGGGCAGTGCCCGAGTTTCCAAATGGTCAGTCCGCCCCTGGGATACACATGCCTCTTGTATTTAGACAATAATTAGTAATCCCTGAGTTCAGCTTTAATTCCGTGTATTTTTGCAGGTTCAGTGTCTGTTTAATAGTTGGCTTCTGTCCAGGTATCTGGCTGCTAAGTGGTAAAAAAAAAAAGGCACTGATCTACTGTAGGGGAGGGAATCAGAAAAATTCATGCTCAGTGCATGTACAAGGTGCAGATAAGTACTGCTGCTATTTTGTATGGCCAGAACCAATGACTTGCCTATAATGACGCCAACAGAGACTTGCTCCTCCCCAGCATGCTGAGCAGGTCTGTTTTACGTTAGGCAGACTTTGCCATTGGGTAGAATGATGTACTGCACGGGGCAAATACTGATGCACCATTTTTTTTTCTTTCTCCTGGACCACATTATTATCTTCCTGGAATGCATATTAGTTGCTATGATAATGCAAAAAAAAGAGAGAAATATTCATTAGTACATATTGGTGATTTCTTGAACTTTTTTTTATATTCTTACCTAATGCTTTAAGGATCTTTGTATGATTTTGTCTTTTTTTTTTTTTAGTCATGTAACCTCGAAGTATTCCCGTATGACTGACACAGAGCGTGATCAGATTGATCAGGATGCGCAGACTTTTATGAGAACGTGTTCTGATGCTATCCAGCAACTTAGAACAGAAGGTGAGTGCAAATGTGTGGCTAAAGTGCCTCCTTTCCATGTTAAGCTCTCTCTTACCGACTGTATTTTATTTTTTTTTTGTGATTAGAGCAGCTTTAAGGGAGACTGATTTTCCTCCTTTTTTCTGTTACTGCATTTGTTCAATTATTTGACTACAAATTGCTTTGCAACTGTATAGTAGTTCCATTATTGAACCTCAGCAGGTTCAGCAGGGACCGGCAGGGATTCGAACCATGCATGGGCAGGCTGAATGTACTCAAGTTGATCGATCAACTTGGGTACAAACAGCTTGTCAGATTTTACATGTGCTTACTGCTGGTGGCTTTTATAGCCTCTAGCAGTATTCACTGTGTTCTACCAGCAGGGATGGCTCCATGGAAAGGATTCCACCATCAACACTGACTGTGTTGTGTCCACCCGTGATTGCAAGAAAGAAAATCATTATCTATGGCCAGCTTTAGGTCTGGTACACGCATTGAGGTTTTTTTTTTTTTTTTTTTTTCAACCCAGGTGGCTTGTTAGGACAGCTATCTCTCCCGCTGTGCCTTTGTGTCCTGACAGGGGGACTCCCCCACCACCAGAACACACTAATCAGTGCTCACAACCTGGTGAAAGCATAGGTACAGTGCACATGTGCGCAATTACAATTAACGAAGTTACCTAATGAGGGAGCACACAAAGCTCTACTGCTGGTAGATACTGAGGGTTACATGGATATCCCATAACTCCATCCTCCTGCAGCTACCTTAGAAATATGTGTTGAGTACCACATTTCTGAGATGTGCAGAATGAACCTTATTGTATCTTCAAATTCTAGCAGTAGGCAATGCTATGGGTGAGCTGTAGCATTTCACCTGTTTGGCTTCTTTTACATGTGCAGCCAGGGTGTGGTAAAACCAGCCGGTTGAGCTGCAGCTTTTTCTGCCCCCCCCCCAATTATCTGCCTAAAGGAGGGAATTCATCTGCACATAGCATGTGTACAATGCTGTGCTTCCCTGCGGCTGCAAAAATGAAACTGTATCTCACATTTGACGAGCATTACAATGCAACTCTATCTCTTAGAATGTAAGCTCCAAGGAGCAGGGCCCTCCTAACCCTCTTGTATTGTTGCTGTATTGTCTCCCGTTATATTGTAAAGCGCTGAGCAAACTGTTGGCGCTATATAAATCCTGTATAATAATAATATAATAATGGGGCCATGCTGCAACCATGGGCAATGCACAGGATTGTGACACAATGCTGCGGCATTTACAGCAGGCCATCGCCCCCTCACTTCCTGTCAAACACCTCTTCAAAGTGGCCCTCCGTGGATATCTTTTCATGTGAAAAAGCCCTTAGCCGCAATAAAACACTAAAATCTTCGTCACACATTATTACTGGCCTAATACTGGTGTTTGTTTACAAGAGATGCTATAGTTTCAGGCTTTGCTTGTAATAATCAGGGATTTGTGTGACGTGTTTAATCTTGACGTCTATTTTGTGTGTTGCTTGTAGATCTGTGCAGTAATCCAGCAGGAAACGTCTGTACTTTTCATCTGTCCAGGAGCATCCTGCAATAAAGACTGGTCACTGTTGTACTCTCCTGCAAGGAGACTAGTCTTGTCGCCAACCCCCCCACCTCCCGTAGTCTGTAGCCTGCTGAACCCCTCCCATCACTCTGCTCTTTGTACAGGCTATGTGCAGCATAGTGATTATGTCATCAATACTTTTGTATGTATGCAGCCAGAAATACTGCACTTGGATGGAAACTGTCTGTGTCAAGGGCCAGTCTGAGTCGATAGGCTGTTGCATGCAAATTGCAGAGGCGTTGCCCATTATTTTGTACAGGATACGCTGCTGCTGTGGTTCACTGAGTGCATGGGGATCACCATCAAGAATCTGTGATTCTTGATGGTGATCCCCATGCACTCAGTGAACCACAGCAGCAGCGTATCCTGTACAAATGTGTTTTTAAACCCTTAACTCTATATCCTGCATTTTAAATATCTTCAATTTGTTCCTTAATTAATGTTCTTGACTTCTCTAGAATTCTAACCATCAGCCATTAGTCAGTGTGCACTTGCCTTCCTGTTCTTCTACTTCTGAATTTATGAGAACAATATTTTATTGAGCAGGGCATGGTTATCTGGGTAGCAGGCTTTTTGGTGATAGAGGGTCACCTGAAGCATATTTGGTTGCAGTATTCTGAATGATTTTCAGTAACAATACCATTCAGTCACCTGTACCCAGTGTACCATTTCCTGTGCTGGCCTCTGTATTCCGCTCATGTAGCTATGTGCAGTAATGAGAAACCATTTATTGATGAACTCAGCCTGATGCTCTTTCACACACATTTACTACCATTCCACATTCACTTAATAGGTTTGGGAGACGCTAGTGGAAAGTTTGATTTCACATCGATACCATGCATGGACAACACACACAATAAGTAAAGTTTGAGGCTGATATATACATGTGCAATTTAAAGAATGAATGTACTTAAGACACAATTAAGTTGTTTTGGAATATACCAGCAAATCAAGCAAATTAGCAGATGTATTATCATGGTGTTTTTCTGTTTCCTGAGCAGGGGATTTATTAAAACAAGGTAAAAAAAAATCCTGTGACAGTCTGCCTAAGCATTCTGAATCAAGAAAAGTGTGCTAGAGCTAAAAGTTTCTTGCTGCAGAGGACAGCCAGTTGGACCCCTTTCCCACTGATGCACCTTTGCTTTGCACTGAAACGCACCTTTCCAACGTGACAAATGCGTATCCAAAATATTTCCCTTTAAATCCTATGTGGATTTTCACATGGCTGCATTTGTGCTGCGGTTTGGAAAGTTCTGAATGCTGCATCTTTGATGTGCATTTAAAAATCACACCAAAGATGCACCTTCCATTGATGTCAATGGGAAACGCACCAAGAATGCACCCATGGTTAATTTTAGGTGCGTTTTTGGGGTCACATGGCAGAAATATGTTGGTTGTTAACCACCTGCTGCCAGTGAACAGGTAATTAAGGAGCCGACACATGCCGGCTTTCTTAACAATCAGTGGATAGGTAAACAACCCCCCCCCCCCCATTGCACTCCCTCCATCCCCAGCCAGGACAGTGCAGGAGTTCTGAAATCTTGCCATCCAGCTCCTTCGGTCCTTCCACCCCCATCTCCTCCCCTCACATTATGCTCCAGGCTGACCTACCCGCCCCCTGTCTTTCTGTCTCTTCCCACCTCCTGTGGGGGTAGCATTGCTATTGCACAAGAGGGGCTGGAGTGTGCTGACCACTGAAAGGGGAGGCATTATCAATGGTTTTTGAGGACTCTGGTTGGTTCCATAATAACCACCCCTCAGCATTCCCTAACCAGTGAATAACCACTTGTTAAGCTGCCAGCACCTGACCGCGTCCTTAACAAGCTATTCACACAGATGGGCTGTAACGCAATGCATTTAAAATGTTCGGTGCAGTTTTTAAAAATGCATAGTGTGTTTTAGAAGCACGACAGTGTGAAAGCAGCCTAAGACTAGGTTCACACTAATGTATGGCTCAAATCACACTGCACAGACATCACATGTAATTTGCACAGGAATGTGGTGCGATTCCTGTTCGAATTACATGCGGTGTCCCGCACCGCATTATTGTGAACCCGGTCTCAATGTCTTTTTTAGAGTGCAGTAAATAATGCCAAGAAAGTCAATGCCCTGCCCTTCCCTGCACCACTGATACCTAACAACTCCTCTCCCATAAGGCCCATGTCACACCTGTGATTCTCTTGCTGGTAAGAATTAGCCAGCAATAGGATAACTAAAAAGTACAAGGAAAACATACTGCTTATATGTGTCAGTCCCTTGCAGATTGGATGAGCAAGGCTTCATTCGCTTGCTGACCAAAATGCTGCAGAAGGTATGTCGCTAGTGAGAGAGCAACACCTCACTCATGCATCCAGGGAAAGAACTTCACATATACAGCTGGTCATAAAAAGTATTGAGCATATCACCATTTTTCTAGGTAAATATATTTCTAAAGATACTATTGACATGAAAATCCATACATACAAAGAAACCAAAACAAATAAGTTCATAAATGAAGTTTTGTGTACTGAAATGGAACGACACGGAAAAAGTATTGAACACATGAAGAAAGGGAGGTGCACAAAGGCATGGAAAGCCAAGACACCAGCTGAAATCTATCAGTAATTAAAAAGCAATCCTGCCCCTTGTCAGTGCAAATTAATATCAGCTGATTCAGTCTCAACTGATGGCCTATAAAAAGGTGTCTCATTACCAAGGTGTCACACAAGAAACATTTCATGATGGGTAAAAGCAAAGAGCTCTCTCAAGACCTTCGCAACCTTATTGTTGCAACACATACTGATGGCATTGGTTACAGAAGAATTTCTAACCACCTGTATGTTCCAGTGAGCACTGTTGGGGCTATAATACTGAAGTTGAAAGAACATCATTTCACAATAAACTGGCCACGAACAGGTGCTCTTCTCAAGATTTCTGAGAGAGGAGTGAAAAGAATTATCAGACGAGTTGTCTAAGAGCCAAAGACCACTTGTTTAGTGCTTTAGAAAGGCCTGGAGTTAGCAGGTACAATTGTTTCAAAGAAAACAATAAGTGATGCACTCAACCATGTAGCTTGTCTGCATGCTCACCACACAAGACTCCATTGCTGAAGAAAAAGCATGTTGAAGCTCGTTTAAAGTTTGCTGCACAACATTTAGACAAGCTTGTGAAATACTGGGAGAATATAGTCTGGTCAGATGAGACCAAAGTTAAACTCTTTGGCAAATCACCCCAAAACCACCATACCAACAGTGAAGTTTGGAGGTGAGAACATCATGGTGTGGGGCTGTTTTTCAGCATCCGATACTGGAAAACTTCATTTCATTGAAGGAAGGATGAATAGAAAAATGTACCAAGTTGTTCTTGGTAACAATCTGCTGCAATCTACCAGGATGATGAAGATGAAACAAGGGTGGACATTTCAGCAAGACAATGATCCCAAACACAAAGCCAAGGATCCAATAGAAAATCTATGGAAAGGACTAAAGATCACAGTTCATAGAAGAGGCCCAAGGAACCTTCAAGCTTTGAAGACTGTGTGGAAGAATGGGCCAAAATCACATCTGAGCAATGCATGCGACTAGTTTCTCCATACAGGAGGCGTCTTGAAGCTGTCATTACCAACAAAGGATTTTGTACAAAGTATTAAATAAATTTCAGTTTTACCGTGTTCAATGCTTTTTTTCCTGTGTCATTCCATTTTATTACACATAACTTAATTCCTGAACTTATTTGTTTTGGTTTCTTTGTATGTATGGATTGCATGGGTTGTTATCGATTGTGTGGTGAACATTTCATGGCAATAGCACCTTTTAGCGATATAGTTACTGAGAAAAACGGTGTCGTGTTCAATACTTATTTTACCCGCTGTAAATAGGTGAGTGTTTTACTACCGTGTTGTCCTGGATCACAATCCCGGCACTGGCAATGTCACAATAGCGAAAGCATTACTAGTGTAACATCAGACTAACACTGTGTCCCAACCCCCCCATTTTAATCACCGCATTGTAGTCCGCTACATGTTCTAATGAAAAAATGTCAAGTTTATTCAGTCACTGGTTAATATGACTTCATCCAGGTTTAATGACTACACTGGGTTATAGGGGAACCCACAATCATTAAAGTTAGCCTGTCTCCTCCTCATGTTCTCCAAAGTATTTACATATTCTGAACAAGCAGTAAAAACACTTTAACCACTTGCCTTTGAGAGGATTTACCCCCCTCCTGACCAGGCTATTTTTTGCGATACAGTGCTGTGTTACTTTAACTGACAATTGAGCGGTCATGCAACGCTGTACATATATGAAATTTGTGTCCTTTTTTTCCCACAGATAGCTTTCTTTTGGTGATATTTGATCACCTGTGCATTTTTTTATTTTTTGTGCTATAAACAAAAAAAGACCGACAATTTTGAAAATAAGCCAATATTTTTTACTTATTGCTATGAAACATATCCAGTAAAAAAATTTTAAAAATCGAATTTCATCATAGAATTAGCCAAAATGTATTCTGCTACAATATACATTTCTCAATACATGTAAATTGGTTTACTTGAAAGTTATAGCGTCTACAAATGGTGGTGTGTATATACTGGAATTTTTTTTTATACCAGTAATGGTGGCGATCAGTGACTTATAGCAGCACTGCGGCGGGCATTCTGACACTGGGTGGGAACTAACTGCCACTGGCATCCCAATGACACTAATACAGTGATCAGTGCTAGTAAAAAGCACTGATACTATACAAATGACACTGGACAGGAAGGGGCTAACATCTGGGGCGATCAAAGGGTTAACTGTGTGCTGTTTTACATAATGTGCTGTGTGAGTTTTACTAGGGAAACATGCTGCTGTGTATCTCTCACAGAGAAGTACACAGCAGCATGTTCTTGTTGGCAGGAGAGAGACCTGTGTTTAGACACAGGTCTCTGCCCTGTCAGTGTTACTCAGCAATCGCCAGGTGCCGGCGGGGAAACTCCAGCTAGACCTGGTGATTGACATCCATAGCTGCCAATGGCGGCGCGAGTAGGGTGGCTTGCGTACACGCCTCCTACCCGAAAATGCGCAGCCCCTCTGCCCTGTAGCAGTAAAGTTGCTCAAAAGTTACATGCATATAGTATGGTGTGTTATGCAGGATCTTGCTGCCAGATTTTGCCAGCAAGATCTTGTGTACGAACTGCTGTGCATGTACCCAAGCTGTTAGAAACCCAACATAGGGTTTGTTTGTTGTGAGATTTGCAGAACTTTGAGAATTAAAAACTTCATATCAAACATCACACTGAATAGTCAGAGATGGCTTGTTTTAAAGTTCTTTTGCTGCTTATTAAAGAAGAGCTCCGGTCATATTTGTACAAATGTAAATTTAGCAGCTTCAAAAACTGTAGCTGCTGACTTTTAAACACTCACCTGTCCCTCCCAGGATCCAGTGCTGTGCTCACCCGAGACATTTTCTCCACCCATGTTCTTTCCCTAGCACCTGCATCTTAATTGTGGGCACCCGGCTGTGAAAGCTTGCGGCTTTACAGCCAGTCGCCCACTGCGCATTGTGAATGGTACCGCATTCTATCTGGGAGCTGTGACATGTCCAAGAAGACTGTGGGGAGAGAGGGGAGAGGAGGACTTCCGCTTTCCACTATACTAACCGCACTTCTGACCAGTTTTCCTGGCACCAAGAGAAAAATGGTGATGGGAAGGAACCTCCAGCAGATTGACATCCTCGGGGGGTGTCTTCCCTCCAATCAGTTCTCAGAACTCTCTCTTTGAGCTCTGCAGAATGTAATTTCAGCTCTCCGCCCCTGTTTTCTAAACTCTCAAGCAAGCTTTAAAAATTCAGCACTTTGAACAGCTGTTGAGAATAAAGCAGATAAAAAGGTACAACGTATGTAGGAGGATTTTTTTTCATCTCTGTGTATTACCTAAGGGCAGTCACTTCACTGGGTATATGTAAGGGTTTACAACCTCTTTAAAGTTTAATGAACATAGTCTGCGTACAAATACACTTTAAGATTTATAATTGTGCAATTGTATTGTAGTATACAGTGGAGAAAATAATTATTTGATTCCCCTGCAGATTTTGTAAGTTTGCCTACTTAAAAAGAAATGTAGGGTCTATAATTGTTATAGGTGTATTTTAAATGATAGAGACCAGGGGCGGACTGACCATATGGAAACTCGGGCACTGCCCGAGGGCCCGGGGTCAGTAGGGGGCCCCATGAGATGCCCCTGGTACCTTTTTCATAGGCTTTAAATTTGGGCAAGGACACAGGGGCCCCATGATCCCCTATTGCCCGGGGGCCCCATGAGTTGTCAGTCCGCCCCTGATAGAGACAGATTATCAACAAAAAAAGTAAGAAAAAAAACACGATACAAATGTTATAAATTGAGTTGCAGTTCAGTGAGTAAAATAAGTATTTTCATCCTTTACCAACCAACAATTATTCTGGCTCCCACAGACTGGCTATGTGCTCATGTGATACACAGATTAGTCCTGTCAATTTAAGAAGATGCTCCTAACGACAACTCGTTATGTGTATAAAAGACACCTGTCCACAGAATCTCTTTCTGCCATTCAAACCTCACCACCATGGCCAAGGGGATTCCTCCAGCCATTGTTTGTGTGGGTGGAAGAATCTATAGTTTTTCATATATTGCCAGCTGTAGTGCCACCAGTTCAGCACCTAGTGTTTTCTCCTTCCTCCCCAAAAGGATTTTCAGTAGGTTTTTCTTAATAATTGAATTTAGTGTATCAGTTTTGTTTGATGTTTACAATATGCACGGTAAATGTTTGCAAAGTAATTTCTCTATAAACATCCTTCATATTTACAGTCTTCTTTCTGATTTGTAGCAAGTAAGGATACCGTTTCATCTCAAGTGAAAGAGCATAGAAATGCCGTCCTGGATTTAATTGGAGACTATTTAAAAAGTAGGTGTTACCAGAGGTCCGTCTTGCGGTAGATTATATATTAGTTGCCGTCTTGTCTATTAGTTTGCTGCTAATGGAATATTTCCTGTCTTTGTAGGAGTGTGTAAGCTGTACTCAGAGCAGAGAGCCATCAGAGTTAAACGTGTCGTGGACAAGAAAAGATTGTGAGTATCCATTCAGTGAAGCAGTACAGTGTAATGAGCAGCACAGCCTTGGTCTAAACTGGCTGCGGCGCTTATGGTTTCATATTAATGTGGTCATTAATTCATATCAGAATCCTCAGTTGAAGGTTTGTGTTAAATAGACTGTATTATCAAGAAATATATATGTACAGTTTAAAGGAAACCTACTGTACTTAAGCATGGTGGCTGGCCGTGCTAACCTCTCCTTCTGGGATCAGTAATTCCTTGGCTGTCGTGCTGGAGCAGTAGCTTCAGTATTTTGTAAGTCACTGGGCTGGAACAAGTATGTGAATTAGGAGTTCTGATTATCCTCTGACTTTCTTGACTTGTTCCAGGTCAGTGACTGACAGTATGGACCCAGTATTGAAGCCATTGACAGCTAGGCAACCAGGAGGTCAGCAATCACTGCCTCCATATTTCTAATAATACAGATTTCTGCTTTATTATATCTGCTTGTCATTTTTAGTAAAAAAAAAGAACTACAGTTAGTCCCCTGCATAAGAACTTTCAAGTTGCAAACATTCAAAGACACGAACATGCATTTCCATGTCCAATCATGTGTGTTTAGTTCGCATTTCTGGCGTACATTCTTATGCGTGCATCCTCTACAAGTGGTTGTGCTTCTGTGTACTTTCTCTATTTCAACCTTTATATTTTTTATGTATTTGTTTGATATGTGTTATAAACCTATTACAGTAATTTATTGGGTGTTGGGTAACTAGGCTAAGTCTGTTAGACTTACAAACAAATTGGACTTAAGAAACGTGCTTTTGGAATGGAACTTGTTCGTATGTAGGGGACTTAATGTATATTTTTTATAAAGATCTAAACTTAATCTAACCATGTAGTAATAGATTACTGCTTTAGATATTCAAATCTGCCTAATATTTGCCCAAAAACACAATCGTACTTTATGGCTCTGTAATGGAGATGCTGGGTGCAATCATATACACGCTCACAATCGACATGTAGTCATGCAGGTACCTTTTAATCAGCATTTAAACCATTACATATTCTACGCATGTGAAAGACCATCTACCAAATTAACACCTGACCTGGCACATCATAGCATTGACCCGGCACTCCAAGAAATAACAGAATCCAACTGCAATATTCTTGCACTGTCAAAATCTCCACTTTTTTTTATCACATGATAGATAGGAGGATATATCTTATAGTCATCACAATCTGCATAATAACACACACCAGTAAGAGTGCGAGCATTACAACATGAAATAGACACATCATTTGACAGCGTCACAGCATCGAATTAATACATTACCAAAGCTATGTTAGAAGCTGGGAGGAGCAAATCCCAAACTGCCCTGGGGGTCACAGAGAAGCCGTAGGCGCAACCAGTTGATGAGCCCTTATAGCCTTTGCAAAAATCCCAACGTCAGAGCATCCTCTGGCCACTAAGGGGTGCTTCTACTGGTCTCGCCCAGACCTTTGCTTTATAAACCAATTTTCTGGAAGCTGTCCAATAGTGGGCGGTGCCACACCAACCACAGGAGGAGCTAGCAGAAGGGTTCCACGAGGATAACAGAGTCACATTCAAAGTGACACTGAAAGGCAGCTCAGATGACCACTGATATGTGGCACTGAAATGTGGCACTGATGGGCACTGGCAGGTGGCATGGATGAGGCACTGATGGACACTGACAGATGGTGCTACTGGGCTACACAGATCATGAGGGCACACTGATCATCAGTTCTCTGATGATCAGTGTAGATGTCCCCTCCGAGGGATGCCGATTACCGGCTCTCCTCTCCTCACGAACTGTCAGCGTGACAGCTCGTGAGGAGAGAAATGCCGATAACCGGCGTTTCCCTGTTTACATGTGATCAGCTGTGATTGGACACAGCTGATCACATGACCGAGCCTACATCTTTGACTCTTTCCGTGGATCGGTGATCCACTGTGTCCGAGGAACACAGCGCACTGCCGATCGCCGCGCATGCACGGTTAGAATGGGAGGACTTCATATGATGTCCTCCCAGAATGAGAAAACTGCCTTGCGTCCGTCATTTTACTATATGGTGGGCGGGAGGCGGGTTAAACAGGTTTTTTATCTCCTAATATGAGGTTACTAGATGTAATAAACATGCTTCATTCCATAAACAAGTTTTTATCTTGCTCTCAGCAGAATATCTGGTGACTTTGTTACTTAGACCTGGAGAAGTGACACATCAGTCACCTGTCATGCCCCTGGCATTTGGGCAACAATGTTTTATTGTAAAAATTACCCAAGAAACAAAAGATCCAAGGCCAACACATTTCATAGGCATTGCAGGCTCCTATATAACCGTGCAAGGATAGCACTCCTATTGTTTTCTTAAAGTGGTTGTAAAGGTTCCAGGTTTTTTACCTTCCTGCATTGTATGGGAAGAGGAGGGTGGGGGCTGCTCAATGCAAAATCACTGCACAGAGCAGGTAAGTATAACATCTCAACTTTAAGTAGGCTGAGATGACACAAAACGTGGAAAAATAAAATTTTTCTGAAAATGACATTTTTTTTTAAAATATTTTTAAGATTAAAAATGTATTGTTTAATCATGTTACATTCACTGTGAATATGTTTGACTTCCATTCTCTCCATGTTAAAATGTTTGTAAGGTGTGGAAGGTGTTTGAAAACAACAGTGCTCAATTTTAGCCAGAAACTAAACCAAATGTAACAGTTGCATGATCCTTTAAAAATAGCTGGCACTGGTTATAACGTCATGAAGTCCCTTTACAATAACTGTAGCAGGTGTAGAGACCTTGTTGCCAAAGTCAGTAAATGTTCATTTAAGAAGCAAGCAACCCCCCAGATCTAAAGCTGGCCATAGATGAGTCCGTTTTTTTTTTTTCATTCAACCAGCGGGTTGAACAAACAACAGACCCAATTCCCCCATCTACACATGCAAGGTGGATGGGAGAATGCTCCTGCTGTGTAATTGTATTATGACAGTGGGGAGACTTCCATGCTGTCAGAATACACCGATCAGTGCTGTAGCCACTGTTTGAGCGGAAGTTTTCCAGCAGGGGGCTGTGCAGTTGTCAATCAGTAGACTGACTTTTGTTTAACCACATTGCCCATATATAGATCGAAATTTGGCCAATCTCTGCTGAACCTGCTAAATTTCGATCTATCAGTGGGCAGCTTTAGATTTAAGGTCCTGATTGAACTGACCACATTAGACAGGCCTGAAATTATCCTTTATTAATATACCAAGGTTTTAAATTGCAAGTCATCTTACAACTTAACTAACATCAGGTGGTGTCATTTTTGTTTGATTTTTAATCATTGAAAAGATTTGGTCCTCACCCACTAAAAATATTGAATTTCACATCATCTATGATATACAGTTCTGACTTCACAACAGAAAATCAAGTAGTCTGCACTATATTAAGTACCTAAATATAAAGCTTTGCTTACAGTTGTGTGGATTTCATAAATAAAGTGTATTAAAATGGCTGAAATGCTGTATTAAATTGCTACATGTCTAAGTCCTAAGCATTTGGCAGTGTGATCCATATTGAAGGGAGAATAATCAAATTTAAACGCTAAGGGCTTGTTAACACACAGTACAGTGTTCTCAGAAGAGTGATGCACGTTGAATCTCTGTTTTGGGAGCATTTGACAGCCTCCTAACTACCTAATTTAAGCTTGTAAATGCTGCACTACTGCGCCACAATCATTGTGTTACATGTGGTTGCAACATGGTCCCATATACCTGCATTAGTTACGTTCAGTAGTGGTAACGCCTACTGAATAGAGCATGCCATTTATTTTTTGCTGCAGCATGTGTACAACCCTGAGCAGCTGCATGCCCAGGTTCAGACGGGCAGTTGGGGGGTTGTAAAACCATGGCTCAGCTGCCTGGTTTTACCATGCCCTAACCACACATGTGAACAAAGCCTAATCCTTAAGCAGAGGTTACATGACCATTGTTTAGGCCATCAGATGTGGTCAGCACCAAAGGAAGCATAGAGCAGCATTTTTTCCCAGAAAGGGTTTTTTCAGCCTCTCTTTTACTCATTATCTGTGCCAACAAGACTGTTTACGTGGATATTTTTAACACTGGACCCAGGTTCACTTTAATATTTAGGTATTTTGCCATGAACGTTGCCCCTCAAGTTTAGGGCTCTGTCAAGTGCTGTAGCTTTGCTTGATTGGTGAATCTGAAATGCCTTTGAAGAGATTCCCTGGCTCAGAGTTCCTGAATGGTATCAGAAGCTGGTTATCTGTTACTGCGCTGGCCTGATTTACAGATGGTGTTCTCATAGCACTGCAGTAATAACTGGTATCTCTAATATGTTTAATTGTTGGATTGAGATCAAACATTTCAGTCAGAAATGTACACTGTCTCTCAGCAACAATGTGCCTACCTAGATGTGGACGTCTAAAACGGAAGATAAAAAGACTTTTACAAATGGACCATATTCCACATCAAAAAGCCATCTCTGTGGAGCGTTCTATGTGTTTGCCATCCTCCCATAGGGTATTAGAGAAGGCTTAATGCAATAATTAGAAATGCTTTTATCACATTAATAGATTTTCTTTGTACTAAGGCTTGAGAGGCACATTTGTTTCTATTTTGCCATAGCATAAAAACCTTTGTTTAGTTTTAAATGCTGTGTGTATCTCCGTAGAAGAGGTTTGTCTTCTCTTCCTCATATGACTCACACCCTTCACCTGAATATGAAGTGTTGACAGAGGTTCAAACCCTTTCCCAGTCTTCCCAAAATTAAAAGTGATTTTAACAGTCAGAGTTGAAGAGAAACTTTGAAGTCTGTTTCTTAGGTTTCTTCCACTGAGAAAGATGGGTGCCCTTGCTCACAGTAGCATCCTTGATGATATCAGAGCCAGTCCAAAGAAATGTCCCTTGTAGGTGATGCGGATCAAACACTTCTTGCACAAGGTTTTTGTAGACCAGAAATTTAGCCATATTGCCCTATGCATATGTACCAACATAAGGCACATGCAAGAGATGAGA